GAGAAGAACAGGCCGAACACCCAGATGGCGTAGAGGTACTTCCCCGCCTCGTTGGCTGCCACGTAGGGGAAGGTGATGAAGAGAGCAGCCCACAGCAGCAGGAAGGTCATCAGAGGGCACTGGGAGGAAGGAAAAGAGGGTGACGTGGCAGGTCAAGTTGTCAGGTACGGCCATCAGCCCTCGCAACGTATCGTTTTTAATTCCCATCTGGAATTAAGCATCATGTTCCCTCAAATCCTTCCAGTTTGCCTTAGATAAAGCTCAATAATCACGAGTTGATCACTGCGAGAGTCATTTCATTGCTCCCGAATCACACGAGCACAAACCAAACACCGCAAGGTGTGTGTGTTCAACAGATTGCCGCTGACTGTGTTGGCTTGGGGTGTGATCAGCATCACGCGCGCGCCGTCATCGAACATGACACGTCTTACTGAGCAAACACACTGTAACTTTCCTGATTTTTTAAGACCTCGACTATGCTTATTTTTGTTTGGTTTTTGCTTTCGGCGAATTGTCATCAAACAGGGCGCTAACCTTCGACGACAGATGGTCCACCACGAATCCCCAGAACACGCGTCCAATGCAGTTGAAAGCCGCACTTGTGGTGGCGATTGCGGAAAGAAACTGGTCGTCGAATTTGCTTCGTATTCCATACACCTGCAAGATTAAAACCCATCAGGTACACTTGTGGTGATCCATATCAGAGAAGAAGTGAGTGGAAAGTCGCAGTTATCAGCTGGCATTTTACAAGGAAACACGTTTTTATTAATACGGGACAGAGGTTTCAATAAAACGTGGATGAATTATCAACAAAACATCAAAGAACCAGTGGTAGTGAATCGTGTTCAAGCGCGTCCGTCAACCCTGGTGCCGCAAATTCCGACACAGCGGGCCCGTCGGTCATGTGGAGCCGTATTCTCAATCATCCCTGTGCATGTACCTCCCCGATATCCACTCCACTCACCTGGCCATTCAGTCATCTGTACTTTTAAAGGCTCACCTTAACTAGTTCGGTCAACAAATGCATCACGCGTGGATGACTTTAAATACACGCACACACAACACACCACAACTAGGTTGAGTCGACTAAACGATTGTCTCCGCCATCTCCAGACCTATTCGTCTTTTCGGATATCGAGGCGCCTCCAACATACCTTGAAGGTCGATGTTAGTAGAACAACGGGGATGATATCGAAGAACACGATGGTCCACAGCAAGTAGAAATCCACCGACTTCAGCGCCTCGAGGGTAGTGTAACTTCGTGGAACTCGTGGAGCATCGCTAGAACGAATAAAACGAAGCACAACCAGCACTACGAAGCAGAATGTGACAACAGAAACTGAAAGGGGCAAGAAATTAGCAAGGATACTTACGTAGTCGTCTTGTCGCCCATTTCACAAACGTGTTTGTCATCATCACTACAAATCATGATAACAGTTACATATCCTGCGAAAGTACAGCATAAGTGACATACAATTTCGGACCAATTTTAAAATCGCCAGCCCAAATTACATGAAAGCGCCCTAAGCATCAATATATACACAGATGTTCTCCAACTAATAGACAATTACTAAAATGAACACACGTGTCCGAATGCATTGAATGCATGCGTAAATGTAAAATGAGTATGACAGTAAACTCACCCGTCGACGTCAACCTTGGCGTAACCTGTCGTCCGATCAACCATTTCGTTGTCACCACCCCTTAACGACAAAATAAACGACTCAGATTCAGATCGGCGATGTATCACACGACTATAACGAAACAACTTATTACGTTTGTTTTTTAATAGTATAGAGAGCAGTACTAGGACATCGGCTGCTTAACATCAACAGATATTCCAACAAATCTGGTTAAAACTTACTGGAGAGCCTTTGAAGTCTTGTCCTGCTAAAACAATAAAGTAGCTACATGAAGCAACTATTACCAAAACAGTTTGATCCATCATTGGCATGATGCAACACACCGCCAGCTGCCACATTTGATACATTATCTCCTTGTAACAAGAAGTTTGGCGAATTGCTTAAGCCACAAAGCAGTCACTATTCACAGGCCGCAAACAAACTATTTCGGCTTTGTGTTGGATATATCAGTGAGTTGCGCAGGTGAAGTAGGGCGTAATTTGAGAGAAAGCTTACCTCGGGTTTTTGATGCAGCAAAATGCATGCAATCACTTCAAGCGCGAGAACGATGCCACCAAGGATCAGGAACACTGATGGGATTTTCTCCTCAACAGAAGGTGGAAATTTGCTATCAAAGTAAATTTAGATGTGACTTATCAACTTTGCTTCAAAAAAGACCGATTGACACCAAAACGACAACCTCATGAGAACATTTGGATTACATGTTCAAGCATTAAAATTTGGAGTGAGTCCACGGCCAACTAAAATTGTTCGGTTAAAAACATGGCTTGACATCAAGTTGATTACAAATGAAAAAGTCACAAGTTAGAATCAACCTTGCCAGAAAGACAATAATAATGAGAGGGTTCCTGATGGCAAAACAGTGATCACACTTACGTTCCATTTGGGCTCAGGTTATTTGGATTAATGATGGCGGTCTGAATGGGTGTAAAGACCAGGGCACCCAAACCGAAGCCTGATGAAATAATCCCCACCACAGTTGCACGATGTTGTGGGAACCACTAAAACGTTTAAATCATAAATCAAAATGGTTTTCTGCGCACATCCTTTAACACAAAATCTTGAAGGAACACACTAAGTGTTACAACTCACCGACGATGCAATGGAGAAGATAAGTGAGTAGGGGACTCCCATGCCGATACCAAACAATATGCAATAAGTGGCAATGTATGGGCCCAGGCCGTAGTCAACAGTTAAACGCGTAAGCATTATTCCACCGCTGAAAAGGCAGTTGACAAACTGGAAACTTAGTTAAAGCATTCCGAGAGGCACAACGTTGTTAGACCTGATTTTCATGGGTTTGATTAAGGTTGACCTTTTACGCTGGCTAACAATGTCTTGGGATTGCTTTACTTCCTACACACAAACTATTGAGTTTAAAGTATCATCCTAAATTGGCAGATGTGCCCAATCTCAGTGCCCCAATTTAAAGTTGTTATAAGATGTAACTCATTTATACCACCACGCTGCACTACAGTGACTACAAAAATTAATACTTTTACCAAAAATTGCAACTCAAACACGTTTAAACATGCGATTACTTACGCACTAGTTACGAGTCCAATCAACAGGACTAATCTATATCCTATCTTTGTAGCAAGTATAGCCCCAGTTGGCATAAACACTGCCTGAAGGGCCAAAATAGTTGACGAAAACCACGCAGCCTGGCTGGACTTAATTCCCATGTATGAAATAATGTACGGGTTCATATTGCCTAGATTCGAGATATAAGAGCAGTATCATCAGCATACCAACTGTATAGAAGTAGCCTAAAGCAAGGTGGTATAAAAATCCACCTATAACACATAAAACACCCCAAACTGGAAACGACGTCATGTATTACGGCAGACAAGCACGCAAAATACGATGTTACTTGAAGTACCACAATGACAAAGAGGCATTTATTTGGGTCAGTCAAACAAATGTTTAATTATGCGTATTCAGTACATTTTACCATATTTTAAAAATGCAGCTTTTAAAAAAACCTTGTGCATGCAAAAAATGAATTATTCCATAATTAATTATCCAGAAGAATGTCGGTTGATTGCTAATTATAATTTCGTATATTTAATATTTAACTAGCACGAATGCCTTAAAAATTTGGAAAAATAGAACTTTTGCAAATGATTTTGTGTTAAG